TTGTGCTCCTTTCCGTGGATCGTTAAAATTTACTGAAAGTAGGCTTGGATAACGGAGCATTAACGTTATCACCCATTCCCCACTCCCGCTACATTTAATTATTCAGAATTTCATGCAGGATAGCTAGGCAATGGTAACTCCGAGTTCCAACTTACATATTTGTTGTGCAGTATGTTTCAAAATAAATTTCGAAATGATAGGTAAGTAATCATTATCATTACGGTGATATTATAGATTATTTTTCAACTTCTACTGGAGGCTCAAAACCCGGAAGCTAACACAAGTCTCCAACGAATCGCGTGTGCGTGCGAAATTTCCGCGTTGTGAGTGCGGCTATCACCGTGAGAAGTGCACTCGCCTGCGGCAGGGACCGCGCTCACCATCGGCGCCCCAGCGCGAGGCGCCCGTGGGACAGCGCCCATTCATCCCAGCACCTCAACACGCACGTCCGGGCGATAGTAAATTGGGTCGGCCCAAAAATTGGGCGTGTCGGCGGCGGCCCGGCCTCCCGCCGGTTTCCGAGAGGGCGTGTCTCGCTTCCCACAGGTAAAATGCTGTAATGAACGCTACGACCGGTCGGCCCAGGGAGCCGGGAAAATGGTGTTTTGAGTTGGCGTTACAAACCTCCGCCCACCTACCCTGGTGCCGAAGAGAGGGAGACTCGATTGTGGACAGATCCCAAATGAGTAACAATTCGATAATTAGTGGGTGCGGTGGAGCCGCGAAGGGGACTGGACAGCGACCCTCGCCGACAGAAAAGGCGTGATCCAGGGGATAAGACTGAGGTCACCAAAACAAGATAACCGAAAACAGAGATCCCCACTGCGCCCCAGAGTGGGCTCGGGAGATATGGCCCTCGGTGCAGGTGGTTGGCCTGCAGGGGTAAGAGGCAGTGACGCCAGCATGAGTGTTGGTAGGGAGATGAAAGATGAACGGACGAGGCGCAAATGCTGCGGAGTGTGACAATGCTGAAAATCGTCACAAGTCACTGACTATTTCGCTTCCGGCGTTTCCAAACAGACCAGACTCGACACGGCCAAAAAGAGACAGAATCTGCAAGCGTTTGCGGAAGGGCGACGAAAATATCAATGCGGCACTTCTTCACCCGCGGCAAAATATGAGTCTGGTCGTGTCGGTGCCTTTGATCTTTTTACTTTAGTATATAGTTGGCCTTTGCAGGCTAGTTTACTAAAGTGTTCGACTCTGTTTAAACTTTGCCTTCGGCCAATGTCATAAAACCAATGTATGACGTACTGAATTCACCGCATTTTGTACCCGGAAGAGATCGACACTGGAATGGGCGAACTTCTTTCATCTCATTTCATTTCATTTAAAAGTTGTTGGTAAGAATTAGTCGAAACACTAATCTCAAATACATGCCCAAAGGAAGCCTCACTTAAAATTTCCCTTCATCCTAGAGGTATTATTTATATTAAAGATATGGAAGAAGAAATGCATCTTTTTCTGCACTTCTTTCACGCTCCCGGATAGACAGACTCATGACGGAAATTTCGCACAGCAGCCCGCCGGAATTCCTGTCCATCTGTACCGCGATACACGCGCCGGGTCCACGGGATGACGCCAGCGTTGAGGACGTGTCCCAAATCCTCAACGTTGACACAAGCCAGTGGCGACGACGGACGGTGGACCACAGATAAGCACAGCGCGTGGTTCTCGAGCTGGCCGATAGCGACCGGCACACGCGGCCGCTACACGCACTGAGTTTGCCGACGGCTGCAGAGGGCACAGAAACTGCAGTCTCAGCAAATATACCTCCAGAGCTGAGGTGCAGCGGGGACGGACGAGGGCTGCAGATGGCTTGTGATGTGCCGCGATGAGGCCTTGAGCTGACAGAATTGCCGTTTTAGGCAAATCACCATATAAACATGTGCGGTTAAATACCACATCGACGCTACAATTTTTGCGATACATCTTAACAAACTACCACTAAATGGCAAATATATCACTTCAGCTTTCAAAACGGTTGGTTGCATTTCAGCCTTGAGCAACCGAGCAAAGGAGCCTCTACGAATACACCTGACCTGCCACCTTCTTTTATATATAAAAGAGGGTGGCAGGTCAGGTGTATTCGTGACGTCATCCCTCCCCGCCGGCCGCCCCGTCCCGTCCGCCATTGCGCCGCCCCCACCTCCCGCCCCGTCCGCCTGCCTCTGCACAGGCTCGCGAACAATGTGGCCACCGTTCGGCAGAAGACCGATCGCCTCCGTGGCTGGCACCGCCAGATGACACCCGCCAATGGAGTCGCTAATGAAGGCCCGCACAAAGAACCTAGAAACGCCCGGCGACACCGCGAGGCTGCCCCGAGGCGGCGCGGGCCAACACAAGACGTGCCGGGTCAGCGGGGTCACCCGGGCGGTGCCAGTCATGTTCAATAACGCGGGCGATCTTGTTGACAGCCGGGTTGGAGCTCCTGTGACGCTAATTTGACCAGACGAGACAAAGACAGCAGATGAGGCGTAGAACGACGGTGGTCGCCCCAAAGATGAGCCAATCAGACCGGTTTATAACCTGTTCACACTGCGGGATGAGGCTACTCACACCGGCCACACACGGTCGAACAGATGCCCGCCACCTGCCACCGTTTTGAGCCGTACATTCGGCGAGGTTCAGGTCACGGGGCCAGCACAGAGAGTGACTGGTGAGGTTCCCAACGGTTCGCTGCAGCAACGGCCGACCAAAGGCAGCTCATTATTATCAAACAAATGACGGGACCGGCTGGGCAGACAGCTGTGATGCAGGAGCCTGGGTTTGGAAATGGCCGACAGGACAGACATTCTGACGGGTCGGGGGTTGGCCAGTTGGACAGACAGCCGATGCTCGCCATGATCCAGGAAGAAGTTGGTAGGTGACCAGCGAGTGCACAGAGCCGGTAATTTGTGCAGAGAACAGCAAGGGAAGATAGATATCTGCATGATACCGTGCAACCGCTTGGAAACGTGCAAATGGACTGGAATCGAGATAAAGCCGAAGGAAAATTGGCCCCCATCTCGGTCCATGGTGAGTCAGACGGCGAGACTGGTTCAGCCCACGCACTTTTCTCAGAGACGGAGGAAAATTCACATTGGCCAAACAGTCGCCGCTACCGAACCCCGCTGGATTGAATAAGCACAGTTCAGAACTGAGCGGGAGCTGGGTCCACAATAAACCTGAACGCCCCCTCATTCCGTTGCTCAGACTCGAATTGTATTGCACTGCAAACTTCTGTTGGCGACGTCCGGCGGTGTTCCATTTTCTATCCAAATATTTCTGTGGAATAATTTGGCTACTAAGTTGGAATTTCATTACGAAGAAAATCAATTTCCGGTTCTGTCACCATGGTTAACATCTTGCCTGACACCAGGCCGCGCACAAAAATAGTCCAAACTTATTTAAAAGTTTAAAGAATTCAGCTGGTCTGATGCTCTTCCACCCCAAACTTATTTAAAAGTTTGAAGAATTCAGCTGGTCTGACGCTCTTCCACCAACACCAACGCGCACATGCCCATTGCCCAATTCTCACCCACAATAAAACCAACAGTTCCTCACGCCAACCAGCACGCAACACTCGCCAGAGATCCTCCCACTGCGCGCTTCGTCACACTCCTTTCCCTGACGCCTCATATCCACGGTGATTACACATTCTGTCAGAGCCGGCTCGTTTTTACCATCGAGGCACCCGACCACCTCTGGCGAAACAGTCGGCTTCAGCCTTGGAACTCAGCGCCAAAGCTCATGGACAACGCATTCGGTCGGTTACTCGGGGGCCTAAGGCATCTTGAGGTAATGAGCTGGAACGTGGTTAATGGACTGATTGGTTATGCAGCGCCTGTCACCAATATAGGGGTTGAGGCCATAATGGTGTTTCAAAGAATAGCTTCCAGAAATGGTCATTGTAATTTGTAGTTTCATACCTATAATTGGTTTCTGATTACCAAAAGGAATGATTTACTGAATTATTTGCTGATGATCCGGCCTTCACGTAATTGAAGTAACATGAATTGGCCGAAAATTAACTGAACATTTCAATATCAACGCACTGTACAGTCGCTGTGAGGATCATATTCGTCTCGGGTTTCCAAAAGCGCTGTTCTCTGCTCAGCACGCTAGCTGTCCAGCCGGAAACAGAGCCCTTCCGGTCCAGTGTGGTGCACGCCGGGGCCGGGGCCGTCTGGGACGCCGGCGGCCCGCTGTCAGGAAGGTCGCAGCCGACGCCGCCCGCGGCGTCCGATCGGCACTGGCTCCGGGAACCGACAGTCGCCCCGGAAACTGACCAACTGACCACTGACTGACCGGCGACTGAAACTGACCAAAGACCGACCGGCGACCAGCAGCAAAAGGCTGAACAGGGAGCTTGCTCAAACGGGGAAAGCAGAAAAGTCGGCGCCCATTTGCGTCCAAGAAAAGTACCGATGTCCATTCACGTCCAAAAATGGAGCCGGCACTCATGGACACCCCGGAATGAGACAATCGTTCAAAAACGCTCCGGAAGCAGCCGAGCACCCTAAGGACACCCCAGAGGATCTCCGCGGGTCTTGCTCCAAGCGAGACCACACAAATCGATAGGATAAATTATCCACAATTTGTTAGAAATGATGATAAACGAAGCGGGCCCAGGTGCTCGGGAAGCTCTGATGGCCGTCTTTAGCCCGCTAATGTCGGCTGTTTAGCGGCGAGATAGACGTGAGCGAGAAACACGGACCACCGGGGATTCAGGTCTGATGGATCTGGTCATCAATCGAAACTCGAAGGGCAAAATAGTTAGGACGGGGTTCAACGCCTCCGAAAACTAAAGTTTGACCATACAGTTCCCCAATATCCCAATAGCTAAGAATATGGACACTAGGGTTAGTCCGACCGGCCACTGTCCGAAGAAATCCATTCCCGTAAAAGATTGAGTTGGTTTATAAAAGTGGGGTAGTGGGGGTCGATATAAAACCAGGAACAGACTCGTTCCTCTCCAAACGGTCACCCATCCTCTGATGATGACGTCCGAGACTCACCTTATACCACTGGTTCAGCACGTCCTGGGTGGAGCGGATGAGCAGGCGACCCTCCTTCGGGTCGATGATGGCCACGGTGGAGGTGCCCCTCAGGCGGTCCCACTCGACACCGCACAGTGAGGCCAGTGGCAGCTGCCGGAGGTCAAAACAACAGTCAGTGGGACAGTTTGGGGCCGTGCGGGGGGGGGGGGTTAGACAAGTAGGATAATTTCCAACGAGTTAGAATAGCGTAAAAATAACCCTAAGCTTTGCGCACTATTTTCAAAAAGTATAAAACATAGACTAAACAAACGAGAACAGTTGGCACAAAGGGATCTGCGGGACCTGAAGGGGTAGCTCTAGTGGGACCTGAGTTCTAGTCTATGTTACTCCGGCAGTCTACATGCACGGTAGTCCAGGTGCAACCAAATCTTTTACGATCCCCGAGCCAGCAGGTGACTGAGGATCGTGACAGGAAACGGACACCTGCCGTCGGCGAGCGACCGTCGACCTCGGGTCACTGAGGTCACAGGAAACGGCCGGGTGATTACAGCCCGAGGCCACGGAGCGCTCTGAACGGGAGGGATCGCGGCCGGAATGGGCCCTATCGGTCACATCCCAGCCTCGTTGGACGCCCTCAGAGAGCAGAGGGTACGATATCAGTCGGGTTTCTCTCACTTTACCGCCCGCATATTTACGTCTGGACAACGAGTTGCGGGGAAAAGTGCTGATTGTGTTGCAGTTTTAGGAGCCGGTGATTAGGCTGGATTTTTGGGTTACTTTTTCGTTCCGATTCATGTATTTCATAGTGTTTGGCTTTTGAATATTTTAGTTCTTTCAGATAAATATTACTTGCCTTACAACTTTTGTAAAAACGTTTCATTTTTTATAAGCCGACGTTCAGAGTCCTAAAAATACATCAGCACTACAATCATTGTAAACAAACAATTGGAGCACCACTTGGCTCTGTTCCAAGGCCATTTTTCAGTTTATCTGGTGGTTTTCTCTTGCTCTTGTACGTCGTTTTGTTGGATGTTTTGAATCCCTTAAGATTGACTTATATCATATTTAAGAAGCATGTTGACTGAAAACAATCTGAAGTATCCAGGAGGCTGACAGAGGTCCTGACTACTGAGCAATATCAATATCAAGTCGGAACAAGTTATGAAATTTTGGTTGATAAACGCAAGTTGATCGGGCTCATATATCAGCAAGAAAAAGTAAAATTAAAAGAGCTTATTGTCCGAAAACAAGCTATAATATTGCAGACCTTGGAGCAATACTGAAGAGCACGCTGAGCAGGATCATGCCAGAAAATGTTGACTGATGAGCGCATATTGATGTATTGGTATGAATATTGAATACTAACTTACAACAGCAGATAAATTAGTGCTAACTATCAAGTTAAAATCTGGAATAAATGGACTTGGGCAGTTTTACTATGCTTAGATGCTATGCAGATTGTAATGTGCATCAGGTACTCAGTGTCTGGCAAATGAAACATGTGATCATTCCATTGCTACTGGAGGAGAAAGCTTGGATCACTAAATCCACTTTATGTTGATTTTGATGTTAATCATCATTACTGTATTTCTTGAAAAAAGGATTGTAGTAAAATTGTCAATGTGACAATCCATGCAACGATGTGATCATATGTGTTCATAGTCATTCGTGATAGTCATTATTGGTCCAATATACAATGGCAAAGCTCTCAGTCTCAGCGTTTATTCCTGTAGATGGCCAGCAGTGACTCAGAGCTTAGAAGTATTAGTTTTCTTCACAGGGCTGGGATAAAAAGTACTGAGGGTAATCTTCCACCAAGGAACTCTACTTTGACATGGTATGAGATGTAGGCACAAGTAGGTAGGTGCTCAGTTCCTATAGTCAGTAGTTGTGTATGTTTAGTCGGGTTAGCTTAGATCAGATTGTTAGTTTTTTAATTTGCCAAATGTCCATAAAAATGTGACCTGAGCAATGAGCATACCTGAACCTGACTAACCTGACAGCTGGCCTAACCTCAATCATCACACATATTTGCAGCCTACCCAAGATCTGCATGGCAGTAGCACCCAGTTATAGGTAGGTACTCACCCTAACTCAATCTTACCTGCTAACCTTCAACTTGCCAAAAGTTAGCTCACATTGCCAAGCTGTGTCCAGGGAAACAGTTGAGTCAACTGAGGAACTGGCTCATTGGGTGGCTGGTGCGAGTCTGTGCATTTAAAGTGTTTCTTCTCTGAAGCTGCTCTGCACTGCTGTATGTCATGTTAGATGCTCAGAAAATGTGGGAAATGATTACTAAGCTACTTTAGTGCTTTGTTAATGCTCGAGACATGAACAAGTACAGATCCTGCATGGTACAGCTATGAGTTAGGTGCTAGGTGAGTATGTTATGTGAATGTGCTGTTCCCTGCTTGACCATAAGTATACAAACAAGCACAAGGTCACAGTTATATTCAATCTCCACATAAACATACAACAAAAACTGCCATATAGCCTAACTCCGAACACACCACAGATAACTTAAGCCTTTGAAGGCACAAAAATGTTTTGATTAACAGGACAGGTTTACAATATATCCTCTGTCCTTGGGGGACCTTGCTGCCAAGTTGAGGTATGATGACTGAACTTCAGGATTGATCAACCTTTTCTTAGCCACTGCTATATACGAGAAAGACCAAATGCTTGTTTGTTTTGATTTACAGGAAATGTATACAATATATCCTCCGTCCTTGGGGGATCTTGCTGCCAAGTTGAGGTACAATGACTGAACTTCAGGATTGATCAACCTTTTCTTAGCCACTGCTTATAAACGAGAAAGACCAAATGCTTGTTTGTAAACTGCGTTGAAAATTTAATGATCCACCTTCAATTCTGACTTGAAGGCACCAATGAAATAGTTCCCTCTCCTTTTGGAATACACAAAGCAAAATATTTAATAAATTTTAGTGGATGGACAAGAGCAATTAGCAAAGCTTTCCCTCAAGTTAACTTCTGGCACTGTTGATTAATTACACTGACGCTTATTCGCTTCATATTTTGTAACAAACGCGCTAAAACTGCAATATAACAGCACTATATGCTTCTTGACAAAATGCAATAGTATTAAAAATTCAGCCCTGATGGCATTCATTCTTGGTGGAAACGTAATTACAAAATATTTTGTAGTAATTATTAAATTCCGGCCGAAAACAGTGCACGGTTTAAAAAAGAATCATTCCAATGACGGTCCATTCTTGCGGTCCTGAAATCGCCACTATTTCCGGCCTCTCCAACGCAACTCGTTGTCCAGACGTAAATATGCTTACCGCCCTCGCGTGTGAAAGCTGCCTGCTGTGTAATTCGAGAGGAAGCGAACAACGGCCGCGGGGTACAGGCAAGCTGTTTGAGGATAGCAGCTCGTAAACATAGATACGATATGATCCGCCAATGTCGGAAGGAAGGACAGTCGTCTGTCATCTTTTCGAAGTGATTACTCATGCACATATGCTTTTCTTATCCCCAGTCTTTGCATACCAAAACCAAAAGACATGGCGCTGAATGCATATCCTATCTCCGGTATCGAGTTGACATTTAGTAAACATATATTGTTTGTCCAAAAATACCGGTGAAACAGGGCATAAGCAGCCATTCCCGGTAATACGCAGCATTATAAATGCATCTACACCATCTGCACCTAATCTTGAGCCGACTTCATTAACCCGCGCCCTGCTGGGGGGGGGGTGTTTGAACACCCCCCCTTGTGGTTTTTCGCGAATTTCTCAAAAACGGCGGCGCGGAGCGCCGCCGTTTTTGGTACACCTTATCATACATCAATTCTACACATGTTGTGAAAATTTCAGCCCAAGGTCATTCAAGGTCAGGTCACCAGGTCACTTGAAGTGACCTCACCTCATAAAAAGTTTCAATGTCTGTCATAGCTACACCGAGTGACTGATCGCTTTGAAACTTTCAGAGATTGCTAAGAGCAATAGCATGTACAAAATGTATATCTCAGAATTTTGATATCGATGACCTAAGGTCAGGTCAATTTTGCGACCTCCCCATTATAAGTCAATGGGAGAAAATTGAAATGCGCCTCTTTTGGACGAAAGACATTATAAACACTTCCAAACACTGAATTATAAGTAGATTAGACACACTGAACATGAAAATGGTGTCCGTGACCCTTGTTTATGCCTTGAGGTCATCTTAGGTCAGGAATGGTATCTAACAGTTTTTCGCAAATAACTTTTGATAGAGGCATGCTAGAGCGATGAAAACGCCTTAGATGTGTTCAGCTCGACGATACGGATCTACTGATATGCAACATGACCCTTTCCGGTCAGGTCATGACCTTGACCTGAGGTCAAATTTTCAAGTTGACCTTTCAAGGTCAAGTTATAGTTCATTCGATGCGTCTTGACGAGAGGAACACGATGCCGGTAAAAGTAAGCTCGTAGAAGGCTCGGGTCAAAAGTTATCGCAGAAAAACTGTTTTCGAAAAAATCGGCTATTTTGGCAGTTTTTGCCCCCTGCAGGCAAAACCGTTGAAGATAGGTCAATTCTGAGAGAATTACTCAGAAAGGGCGTTAATAGGGCTACCGAATGCGCTTTTCCGCAGCGCTGTAGCTCTACTGGTTCCCGAGTTATGCGTTGGCTTCTTGGAAATTTTCGACATTCGACCTGGAAATCGGCGAAATTTTGCCTTCAATGACCTCTAGTGACCTGACCTTTGACCTGACCAAAAAATTGACCGAAGTGATTTCGTCATTATTTTTGACGCTCTTTCGAACGCCGCCTTCCGCGTATCGCTACGTGGCCCAGGAGCCGAGTTAGAAGGGGGGGTGTTCAAACACCCCCCCCAGCAGGGCGTGGAAATCCAGGACCCCCAGCCGGGCGCGGGTTATACGGCACGAGCCATACATGACACATACAACAAGCAGAGCCCGCAGAGGTTTAATTACGTCTGATATTGGGTACCGCCCGGTCCGCTGCATTGTTCGGTACCGGGACACTCAGCGGTCGGCGAGGTATTCCTGTGTGACCTTGTGCGATCGGACTGCGCCAGATGGACGGTCAGGCCGCCGAGAAACCGGCTCGAAACAGCACAAAAAGGTGGCTATTACACATGTTGATAGACGGATGAGCGGAGAGTCATGATCGCAAGGCGCTGAGCTGTTCGGAGAATAACAGCCGGGAACGGGATATAACGCGAGACAAACATCGCAGACGAAAGCGACAGCTAAATATGCGATATATCAATAGAAAAAGGCAGATGTAAGGAATTTGGTAATTGGATGTTTCCTTCCCAATCTCCACGACCTTGACGAAAACAGAATATGTTGACAGTGAGTCAGCGCCTTCCATGCGCTGGTCCTGCCATTGCCCGGAGTTGTGGCGGTTCCCATATTTTGCAGGCGTTTTTCGGCTCTGCAGGCGCCGTCCCACGGTTGTCTGTAATGGTGCGGCACGACATGGCTCTCGTACAGCACGCGACACAGGCGCCAACATCCCTGGCCGGGGGTGATAGCCGGGCACACGACCACCGTATATGTCAGCCTCCTAAAACGTCTGCCGAATGTCGCCGTCCTCATGGCATCCGACACATTGCACCGACTCACCTTGAACAGAAAGCCGCCCATGTCCGAGTACTGGCTCTTGGCCTTCTTGAAGCAGGAGAGATAGTCCTTGGTCAGGATAAAGTAGCGCTCTTTCCAGTTCCAGCGGCTGAGCAGGGTGTCCTTGCAGTACCAGATGACACCCTTCTTCAGGGTGCAGGCGTCCTCCGATTTCTCCTGGATATTTGGCGACATCTGAGAAAAAGAGAAGGCAAGGTTAGTGTGGAGCAGCACATAGATAGAACTAAACAGAAGAGATAGAGCATTCTAAATGCATCAACACATATATTTCAACAGCATTATGCAACGTAACTGCATGTCTCATTTAATCGTACCGTTTATGTTTCTCTTCTTTTTATTTCATTTTCAATATCGGTGCACAAGACTTAAACTTCTCATGCGAGGCTGCAATTGTAACCACTTTCTCTCCTATTCTAATTTGGCGCTCGTGATAGTCGCCGTTGCGTGACACGGCCGCAGCGGCGCGTGCCGTTGCACGAGCAGGCGACAAACAGCTGCCGCCACAGCGCGTCATCACGGTCCGCTGCCTGCGTGCCCGGTCATAAATTCCCTGCCCCTGGCCGCCCCTCTCGGCCCCCTTCTATGTCACGTGGCGCGTGTCTACAGAACATGGAGGCAGCCAGCCACTCGTGTCCCCCCAGGTGCCTGCCCTACACCACCCCTCCAGCCAGGTATGTGCTGCACGTGCCATGTGCCACACACCAGGTGACACACGGAAACTGCTACCCCGAACATGCATCGCGGAATGTCCAGGTGTGGCGAGTGGCGATGCGGTGACACGACGGCCGGAACACGGCGGGGTTAGTCGTGGCCGGCGACTCATGGGACTTCTCCAGAACGAAGAACGAGGACCATGTCGCGTATCGACCCTGCCACCCAAGTATCGACCCGGGTTCCCAGCGGCTGTCTGTCGCTGTGGCCCGAAACTGCCATATCGACCGTCCTACCGAGTCGAGCCGTGAACCGTCGCTGCAGACTGCAGAACTTCGTTCGAGCAGCGGAAATCATAAATAATGCCAGCAGACAGCGGTCTGTGCGAAGTTGGAATGGCTGCTGGGAGGTCCACAGCAATGTTGCTAAAAACTACACGGATGTCATGCATGGTGTGAGTGTTGCTGCAGCCCATCTTCACTTACCATCAGGATGCGGATGACGGTAAAGTGATGCAAATCCGGTATCAATTGGGCTTGGTGGCTATAAATGTCCATTCGGAAGAGAGCTAGGACTTCATTGCCCATTGCCGGTCTTCAGTAAGTCAGACTCAAAGATGTAGTTAATGCCGGTGGAATGATGCCAGTAACATTTTTACCCTAATGTGCACCTAAACGGGTACCGATGGCATCCCCACATTTTTCCTGCAACACTTCACATACCATCACTGCAATGTCGAGGTGTTCGCAGGAAATGCTGCAGAGCTTGCTGTTCAGCACGTCTCGTCGTCGTGAGATCGCCGCAAACAGGTTGCACTCATCCAACAAGCATCCAACACGGTTATAACAAGAGATCTGTCTATTACCTCGACAGGCAGCTGATCAGAAATGTTCACTTTTGCTGTAGTCTCCCGGGAACAAGCACTTATCACGACGCACATTTGGGACTTAAGACCGGTAGTTCATCTAGTGCGCAGCTCGTAGGGGCTATCACCAAACACCTCAGTCGCCGTGTCATCTCGCTGGTTGGCAGGAGAGAGTCAGAACCGCTGGTGAGGACAAGCAGCGACGGCGAATCTGGGTGGGCTGATCTGCAGAAATCTGACCCGGTGTCGACTGCAGTGACAGGGCCCGGGTCTGTCGACATCCGTGACCGACCCGACGGCGGGCCAACACCGCCCGTCGCAGACGACGAACCGCCAGTGCCAGTCTCAACACCTGAAGCAGCGTCATCGAACGCGAAACTCCGGCGACGCCACGAGCAAGGCCAATCGCCGGCAACTTCAACGGGGGTTGCAGTTGCCCCTGCCCTGCGTCTGGTCGAGATGATAATGTCCAGCACCAACAAATCACTTCTCACTTCGTCGAGCTTGTCATCGGCAATGAGACGTCACAGCAGAACCACCTCCCCACGACGACTGCCGGCGACTCCTCACAGACCAGAACTCTCACGCTGGCCATCTCTCTGACGTCTGACAAGGACAGACACTAGCTGACCTGGCCGTGACATCCTCAAACATCCGCCACGACCCCATAAGCCTGGTCAGCAAGTCGGTGCGGCGACAGACGGCTCAGCCTCCCGGGGTCAGCATGGTGTGTCGTTTCGGGAACTAGCGAATGAAGTTTAGTACCGCCGTTCACCGGTGGATGGCGCTAGCTGGTAGTTTCGGCGAAAACTCCATCTGAGATGTTTGAAGGCTTCCCTTAATCCCTTGTTCAAACATGGACCCCGTCAGCCCCGGCAGAGGTATTTGTCCAGTGTACACCGCACCTGAGGACGGGTCAGCTGAGGGAGGGGAGTCACTATTGTGGCCTGAGGAATGCCGCGCCGGTCGGGGGACGGGGTCGGGAGGAGGGGGAGAGAGGCAGCGCCGTTCTTGCGGTGACGGGCTGGCTTGTCGCCTCAGCCTGGCATACGCTCAGTCGGCGAGGCGATGCGCATGACCCGGGAGCAGCTGAGAGTCCATGACTCCATATAGACAATTGGCTCGTTTGTAAGCACGAACACTTGGAATGTTGCTGGTGCAGAATTTAAGCATAGGGACGATGTTTTTTGTGCCAAATTTTGTGTAGGTAGGTACATGTAAGGAATTTATGGAAATTTATTGTGACAGTTTCCAAAAAATCGGTCCAAGTTTTATAAGATATCGAGGTTTTAGTGACGTCATGATTTGAGTTTTCGTCTTTCGACAAAAACGACACATGTTTAAAAAAAATCATGGGTATAAAATCACAGAATAGACATACAGACATGCCGTAAACGTCATTGGACTGCCAATGCCTACCATGAACAATCAAATTGCCATCTTTGATTTTTGATTACCTATCGTTCTATGGTTTCCAAAATCTTAAATGGAATCTTGGCAATCTCTTGTAGACTACTTTACGACCATGATGAATGCATTTCATAACCCGCACTCCGCTGGGGGTCCTGGAATTACATGCCCTGCTGGTGGGCGGGGGTGTTTGAACATTCCCTTTTAATTCGGCTCCCGGGGCCACATGTAGCGATACGGGGAAAGCGACGTTCGAAAAAGCGTAAGAAATAATGGCGAAATTTATACTTAGGTCACTTTTTCGGTCAGGTCAAAGGTCAGGTCACCAGAGGTGTTTTGGACCCATGCTACTGAAAGCCCAATTTCATGTGTTTGATCTGACCTTGACCCGACCTGTGACCTTGAAATTTAACTTTCAGGTGCTCATCGTAAGTGTCTCGTCGCGTTCTTTCGTTTGCCTTCTCGTCCGTTTTGCTGCGTCTATTGGTTCTTGAGTCGGGTAGCAGCTCTATTGGTTCCCGAGTTGTGCGCCGCTTTTTGAAGAAAAAATGTTGAAATAATCGGCCCAGCCGTTCTCGAGATCTGGAAGCGCCCCCTGCACGTGCGCACGTGCACTGCACGTCGTGCAGTAGCACCTTAACCCTATTAGTGGCAGGCTTTTGGCTATCCCTATTAGTGGCAGGGGGGGGGGCTGTTTACGACCCCCTTTGATATCTCGAGATCTAACGGGCCGATTTTCAAAATTCAAACGGCATTCGATTTCGCTCAACGTGATCTACATTTCTAAAAAATAGAAATTAAAAATGTCAATAGAGTAAAAAAGGTAGAGGGGGGTAAAAACGGGCAAATTGCAGATACATTTTAGACTGTTTATCACGGCCAGGTTTCTGAACCAATCTTATTGCAACTTTTGCCGATCGATAGAGAATGAACCAGGAATTCACATGGATCCTAAAAATATGCATTTTCAAAAATCATAGGCGGATACAGATCATTGAGATTCGGGGTACACAAAAAGTATAGTAAATAAGGTTTTTGTTGGTACTGCTTCTAAAAAGGGTGGTAATGGTCTTGTTATGTTACAATTTTCTTATGAGAGAACGACTACAATTGTATTGGTCATTCATAGGCGGTGTCAGGGCACCTATGTTGGGAGATAAAACATAACCCCCCTTTTTGGACGCCTGGATCCGCCTATTATAGCAAAAACGTGTCAAAAGAGGATGGACAATAACTTTGTATATGCTATCACATGATACCTTTCATTCACTGTTCGTAAAACTGGTGCATACAGTTATAATACATCAGCATCGTGATCTTCGCCCAAATGACTCGCTTCACGAATAGGATCCCCCAATTCCCAGTGCTCTGGAGCCGCCCCTGGTAAAGATATGAACTTGAAATTTTCAGGGAATGTGCCCAATTTAGTTTAAGGAAAAGTCACACAATTTCAGCATCGTAGCTTCAGCGGTTTCGGAGATATTCCCGAAAACCCTGAGGGGTGGATGAAAACAACCCCCCCTGCCACTAATAGGGTTAACCGCAACACATGGGAATGCATAGCCTGGTGGATGCCTACCTGTATGCCAAGTTTCAGCGAAATCGCCCCAGTAATTACCGAGTTATTGAAATGGGAACAAATTTGGCACCTCTTCTCTTTGTATTTTGCACGTGCAGTGGGGGTCACTCACATAGATCAAGAGCATCCGACCTTTGGTAGGAGGGATGCAGCTACCCTACAAAAATTACCGCAAGACAATCGCTTAAGCGGCTGCTGAGATACGAGCCTCTCAAAATCACTACTTTTCCAAAACAGCTTGAACACCCTTGACTTTTCACGTGGCACGTGCCACGACGGTCACTGAGATGTATCAAAAGTAGTCAATTACGGGATAGAAGGGATGGGGCTACCCAGCAAAAAAGACCGCAGGCCGATCGGTCTAGCGGTTGCTGAGATATAAGCCTCTCAAAAGCGTTACAGGCCGGGACGGGCCGGGCCGGGCCGCTCATACTGAGATTTTTTCCGTTATATTGAAAAGACTCGTTTCGCTCGCTCACTCGTAACTACTAAGTAAATGTTCAAACGGATGCCAGGAACATGTAAAACTCGAAAAAGTGAATCAAGGTCCTCAAAGATCAATGACCCTGACCTGACCTTTACGTGACCTTGGCACCCACCGTAATGCATGCCGCATGGGACGAACATCATTTGACATGTTTGGACGTTTACAACACAAAAAAGACTAGA